CAGCATGCTGGCAGTGCTGAGCTGTTGGATGATGGGGGATGGGAAGCAGCATTGTTTCTTTGGCTTCCCCTCTTCTGATCTACGGGAGGATTTGGGGCAAATGTTCTTTTGTCTAGGAGAGGCTGTCTTAGGAGAAGAGCCAGAGGAACGAAAGCTAGGAGCAGGGACAGCTGTGTGAGCCTGCCCAGGATTAAATGCACGGGTTAAGCAAGAACAGCCCATCCCAGGGGTAGGGAGCCTAGGGGTGGGCTTCGACTTTGGGCTATGGCACTAGGCAGGGAGAAACCAGGGGAGAATATTCTGCCATTATGCCAAGAACAGTAAGGAGGATGATGGTGAGAAGGTTTAAATCCAGGTATTACTTTAAGAATTGCAAGTGTATTAACGTCTGTTACTTTTTTTTTTTTTTTGCTATAGGGCATGTGCACTTGCCAGAGAGAAAGACAGAAGATAAAGTGAGAAAGTACTCTCCTAGGATGATAGCCATGTCGCAATCTCTTCTCCTCCAGTCTCTTCTCAGGATTTTGGGCGTGCACATGTGCCTGGCATTTTTTTTTTTCAAGCTGCTGGATCCGAGACTCGAACCACGCTATCGTCCATATGGGATCCAGCTGCTTTAACCACCACATCACCGGCTGGCTCATCTAGAGCATTTTCTGATGAAGGCAGAATTCTGAGGCCATTTAAATGGTGGAAGGGAAAGAATGTGGCTGAGAGTAGCTCAAGGCATGGTAGGTACTGCTGGGGCTTGGGGGGTATAGTGTGGAATGAGAGCATGGGACAGCTGGGTGGGCGTCAGAAATCCCAGTAGCATCCAAGGCCCTGGCCTCTGAAGCTTGCTGCACATGAATTCCTACCCTGTGTGATTTCCTTCTCTCTGCCCCGGTTTCCCCCTACCCCACCCTGTTGCCATGGTTGTGTACTCTGGCACTGCCCAGCAACCACCCAAGCATTTCATAGCAGCCGTGTCCCAAACCCCTAGTAACTGCCCAGCTAACTTCTGTTTCTGGCTGTCCTCAGGGAAACTATGCCTCTCTTGGCACAGGTGCCAGTTGGTACAAATCCCAAAGACCCCCAGGAAAACACCTCCCCTGCTGTTGGCCTGTTGGTGGATCCAGTCACCAGGCAGAGGATTTGCACTACTGAGATCCTTTTTTCTGTTCCTATTCTTTTGACCTAATTAATGCCCAGTTCTGAAAGTCCACCCTTCCCTCCCACCATACACACACTCAGAGACACTGTTCTCTTAAAGGTCAAGGTTTCACGTGGACAAGGGGGAGTATCTACGTCTGCCCTAGAACCTTTCTCTCTCAAGATACTTGCTCTACGCTGGTATATTGAATAGGTTTTTTCTTCTTTTTTTGAGAATTATTTTTTTAACTTTATTTATTTTAATTTGACAAGAGAGGGACAGAGTGAGAAAGAGAGAGAAAAGGAAAGAGAGAAAGCAAGCCACCAGGTCCAGGACTCAAACCATGGTCGGCCATGTGGGAATTCAGTACCCTTAACCACCATGCCACCTGTCAGCCCCATGAATTCAGTAAAGTTTTGTGTGTGAGACTGTACTAGGGACTCTGAGCTTAACCGTGAGTAAGAACTGGCAAACGAGCCAGGGATATGCAAGACGGAGGTATGTAAGTACAAGAAGCGCCTGACCTCCCTGGAGTGATAAATTGGGATGGCACCTGCAGAAGGGGCACCTGAGTTGGGCTGCAAGGAATCAGAAGGTATCCAGGTTGACAGAGGGAACCGCAGCACGACCAGGCCATTGTAGGGATGGAGAAGCTGGCCAGGTGGGTAGCCACAGAAATGAGTTTAGACTTTCTCTTGAGGGCCATGGAAATAGCTTATTGCTCACCATCTTATGACCATGACCAGGCTGCCCATCCCAGACCCCGGATATGCCAAACCAGGCTTGCCTGACTCCCCTAGAAAAGTGCCACCCTACATGGGTGACCGCCATTCAATTCCTGGACCTGGTGACTTGCTTGCTCACTTTCCCTCTCTCTTTCTCTGTCTTTCTCTCTGGGAAAATTCTAATAAAATAATAATAAAATTAAATAAATTATAAAGAAAAAAATTCTTAAAAGAAAAAGAAAGGTGCCGCCTCTGCTAACTGCCTGTCTCCACCTCCCTCCATCATGACCCCTCCCTCCCACAGTATTCTAGGCCAAGTTCCTTTGGGTGTGTGCATCCTCATCCAGTGTTGCTACAACTTACACTTCAATAGCTCCTCCCTGGTCTCCCTGAGGGCAGGGTCTTTGTCTCTCCCAACCTCCTAGTTCCTAACCACTCTCTTCCCAGTCTGCCTGATGGAGGCTGCCTCATAGGGCCCCACCCTGGGTGGGAAGTTGCTGGAGGTGCTGGAGCTGGGAGGTACATGGCAGGGATAGAGCGAGGGTTGTGTTCATGCTTGGCTCAGTAAAACAGCTCCAACCAAGCCTCTCCCTAGGATTTCTTCTCTCTTCCTGGTGAAGGCAGTATGGGTGACTTTCACTGGGAAGGAGGAGGATTTCTAGGCACTTTCTCTGTCTGCCTCCTCTCCCTTAACCCTTTGGAGCTCCGGAGCAGCTCCTGTTTACCAGGTGAGCTCCAGTGCTCAGCCTTTCTGGGGATTTCCTAGCATCCTCAGTACCCTCTCCTGGGCCTGTCTATGTCCATAGTGGAGTGGGCAGCATTCACTGAATGTGGCCAGAGCGGCAGCTGTCAGGACTCCTGGCCACTGGTCTGCCTCATTGCCTGGAATGCCCCTGTGAGTGAGTCACCTCCCTGAGTCTTGGAAGCATTTTGGCTTCCAGTACTTCTAAGAGAATGCACTTCAGCCCTGAACCACAAGACACACCCAGAACCCAAAGTCTGGAGGCTGTTGGGTGTCTGCCTCTCCAGACACTTGCCCTTGGGAGCCTCAGTCCTCATCTGGAGGAAGGGAGAATAGTAATCCTGTCCCGAGTGAGACTGTGATGACCAGCTGGTAGACAGGAAGAGTGGTATGGATCTTATGATGGAGATATGGGTTTTAAGGGCCAACAGCTCCTTTTTCTTGTTAGTCAGGCTGAGTCTTCGGTCTTGAGGTCTTCCTGTGCGGGGAAGCAGAGGAGGTGAGACGGAGAGAGCAGGGCTGGAAAGAGACCACTTTGGCAGAGGGCAACAGGCCAGAAGAAGGGAAGATGCTGAAAGTAGCCAGCAGAAGCATCTGGCCAAAACCCAGCTTTGCTTCAAGCTCAGGCACACTGAGTTGGGGGGAAGGTATGGGGGTAGGAGAGTATCTATTGTCTTAGACCTCTGGATATGCCCAGCCTAGTCCCTGCCTTGTTACTGCTTAAGACCCCCTGACTCCTACAGCTCATCAGCTACTCTCTCCTGTCCTGTCTCTTCTGCCCTCAAGCCTAAGTGCTGTCTCCTGGGCGTGGAGCTGGGCAGAGGTTGGAACCACATGCCACAGACCACAGATGAGATGGTCTCAAGTCCTTGATGGGAGTTTCAGGTGCTACAAAGCTTCCTCTCTGAATTGTAAGAATCACCTGCTCATAAAGCACTTTTTCCTGTTTTTTCCTTGAGCGGCCACCTGGGAACTCTGTGAACTACTAAAATCTCCAGTGCTGGACCCCAAGAACAAAGTCCTCCAGTATGGGGATGCTTCCTCTTTGGAGGGAAACAGGAGAGTTCCATGTTTGGAAGGATCCAGGGTTAGGGCCTGGGCTGGACACAGCAGTGTTGGGAAGGAGAGTATGACATGGTCCTTGTAAAAGGTTCTTGGACGTGGAGCTAAAGAGGAAGAGAAGAGGGCACTGAGGGGCCAGGCCCAAGCGCCCTCCTGTGAGTCAGATGGCAGAGCCACCCTACCTGATCCAAGTGGTCTAAGATACTATCTGAAGCTCTTGGTATCGCTGTGGGAAATGGCAGACATGCAAAGAACTGTTCCGCAAACAACTGGCCAGTACTCAGAAATGCCAGTATTATGAAAGAAAGGCTGAAGGGCTCTTCCAGATGAAAGGATACTAAAGAGGCATGGCTGAATACCAGCATGATCCTGGATTGGATTCTGGAATGAGCAAAGAGAAACTACAGGAGACAATGAGTATGGTTACATATTAACAGAGAGAAATAAGCAAATGTGGTACATGTTAACAATTTATATGTCCAGATGAAGGGTATATGGTTATGATTCTATTCTTGCCATTTTTCTGGGTTTGAGATTTTATACAATAACAAACTGAATACTAGGAGCTTGGGCCCTCAGAACTACTCGCTCACCCTGGGCTACAGGGTGGAAGTTTTTCTTTCTTCAGAGAGGGTCTTTAGGAGGATGGGAAAAGCCCATTTCTGAAAGCAAGGCCACCTGCTTGACCTGGGACACTGGCAAAAAAGTAACAGTGACTGGACCAGCAAGGAGCGGGTCTTTAGGGACAGGTACCTGCTTATCTTCTGTCCTCACTCCCAAACAATGTCCTATCCACAGGCAACTCGGGATGTGGTGCTCAGCCGGGTGCCGGAGCAGGAGGAGGATCGGACAGTGAGCCTGCAGAATGCTGCGGCCATCTATGACCTCCTGAGCATCACGCTGGGCAGGAGGGGGCAGTACGTCATGCTCTCTGAGGTATGGCTGGCCATGCAGTCCATTCACTCCCTAGAGGTCATGTAGCACATAAAGAGAACCAGATGGGACCACTATGTGCCCTTTCTCCACTTGCCACTTCTCTGCTGGGCTGCTGTGCCACTTACTGGCAGTATGACCTATTGAGAAGAATGAGTTAATACACGCAAAAAGCTGAGAACAGTGCCACACACAGTAATAAAGGTGTTAGCTGTTATTTTCATTGAATATGTGTTCTGTAAGCACTTTCATAAATGTTATTTCATTTGCTCTTCATCATCAACCTAAGATCATATGCATGTTATGGGAGTGGAAACTAAGGGCCAGAGAGGGTGAGAGACATGTGCAGGGTCACACAGATGCCAGCAGCAGAGACTGAATTACCCTTGGATTTCCAATAGGAACGAAGTATGGGCCTCCTGCAGCCTTCTGAGGCCAGTGACTTAGGGAAGATTTGAGATGGCTGGGGTAGGAGGGGAAGTGGGCAAGTACTGACAATCTCTCTCTCCTCAGTGCCTGGAGCGAGCCATGAAGTTTGCATTTGGAGAATTTCACCTTTGGTACCAAGTGGCCCTGTCCATGGTGGCTTGTGGGAAGGTAAGGACTGGAGACTGCACCCTCACCCTTGAGGCTCGGCTCTCCTCTGTTCCCCCTCAATGTGGACAGTGGGCCTTTCTGAAGCTAGGTGCCAAGAGAGAGTGTGGGGCTGAGACTGAGAACTGTTACGTAGCAGCTCATTTGAATTACTCCAGGTAAGTGAGGAGCTTGGGCAGGGCTACACCAGCAACTTGCATGATCTCAGGTTCATGTGAGAGTCGCAAGTGCCCAGTGTGCAGTTGTGTGTCTGTGAATGCTTTTCTCTGAGTACATGTGCATGAATGGGGGCATTGAACCTCTTCTGGTGAGTCGATGGGTAGGACTGCATAAGACAGAATGGGCTGTGACTCCAGGTGAGGGGAGCATTGCTCCCTTTTTATCTTAAGCTCTCTTCCTGCCCACTGACTATAGCATCAGGAAAAAGGAGAACTTGCCTAGGAGGGAGGGGTCGATGGTGGAGTGGAGCTGCAGCTCCTCAAGGGGAGTTTGGAATAAGAACTGCATGATGGATGTGGTTGGGGGCACCTGGGTGGGCACAAAGTCAAGTGGGGCACTGCCTAGAACTGGGAGCACCAGGGCATGCATTTGCCCTCCAGCCACTCAGCCGCGATGCTGGCACCCCTGGTTTTCCCTCTGATCAGAATGATACTTATGTAAGCCTCTATTTTAAGCAGTGACTTGAAAGGAAAACCTTTCTGGAGCTGGGTGTTGGGGCTGAGGATGCTATGAATACAGGAAATAAGGTGGCATGAGCTTGCAGCTCATTCCAAGAGCTGTAAATACACAGCCCTTTCACGGGGCTGAGGGAATTCCTCGCCCCCTGGCCCATCTGTGCCACGTTCCATTTCTAGCCCCACAGCCATCTCTGAGGAGGGCCCTCCCAGGCTTGCCACTGCCTCCTCCACTAATGGAGTGGGGGTGCCAGCCAACTCTGGGCCACAGGAGCTGAGGCAGGCCAGGTCCTGGCAGGCAGCAGGAAGAAAAGCAGCCTGACAGGCAGGAAGAGGCTGGGGAGATACAGCAGAGAATCAATGGGGGAGCCTTTTTTCCTACTCTCTCCATCCCCTCTCCCCAAAACCTGTTTCCCCTCCCCATCAAATCGACCACCTCCTAGAGTATCTTGATGTCACAACATAATCTTGGCTCTGCCCCCCAGGGTCTCGTCAAGGCTCAGGGAGAATTCAGAATACAGGGTGATGCCCCAGTCCTCCAAGAGCTAGGAATTATAAGACACTCTCCTAAGGAGCCTCATGGGGTGTGGGTAGACAGATGCCAACAGGAGCAGGCAGCATTCTGGGGTGAGTAGATGACATGGGGAAAGGTGAAGAGCCAAAAAGGTGAGCCATAGATGGGGACAGGAAGATCTTCAAAGTATCAATCCACCTGGGATAGCAGGGGTGGGGGGAGGAGAAGGTGGGAATGGAACTAGGTGGAGCCCAAGCTCCTACAAGGAGCCGGACAGAGAGCTCTCAGTGGCTGGGGCACTTCATCTTTTCTCCAGGAAGCAGACAATGCTCCTCTAATCTTGTGAGATTGACCAGGGAGACGGAGAGTCCCAGGGCCATGGTGGTGGTTTGTTCCCTTCTGTGGGTCATGGACCCCTCCTCAGAAAAATACACTGCACACAGAAGTTAACTTTGAGTTCTGAGAGGTCTTCTGGAAGTCTCAGCTCAGAAGGTGTCATGATAGTCTCAGAGGTCAGGGGTCTTCTACCTCCTCACCAAGAAGCAGCTGGGCTCAGAGAGGTCCAAACACAGCTGGCACCATCCAAGCTGGTTTCCTGGCCTGAATTCTTCACAGGCTTGCTAGGTGGGCACAGGAATGGGCTCACAGGCAGGAGTTGGAACGTGAGGCTTCTTGGGGTGGAGACACTGGGTCATACCCATTGTGCATGCAGTGCAGCAGGAGATTGTTCTGGAAGACACTCTCCACCTGCTAGGGAAGCCTGCACACCAGATCAATCTGCCTTGTTGTCCCAAGTAGCCCTGAGGAGTGGCCAGACATTGCTTTGCCAAGAGCCTAAGGTAGGAATCAAGGTTCTATGCCTATTGGGCCTTCCAAAAGGTGAAGCTGGGCAAATATAAATATATCTGGGACTTCAACCTGCAGGAATAACAGATGAGTTCCTTGGCATGATTTAGGTCGTTTCTTCTCTTGGTCTCTGAAAAGGAATTGCATTGGCTGTGTTGCTAGGTAACCGGCATGACAAAAAAAAAAGGGCCCTGCTGCTCCCACTGCTAAGTCCTCAGATGGCTCCTGAAATAGCATGAGTTTTTTTGTCTGCCTCAGGGCAGGGTGGAAAGGGGTAGGAATGGAATGTGGAGGGTTAGGGTTAGAGAATCCAGCATTTTAAGGATCCAAGGGTCAGAAGCCTAGAGAAGGAGCTTGAGGGAGATGCCTGAGGCTTGCTAGGGTGTATAGATGGAGGGTGCCTTGGTGAGGAGCGTGTGGGAGATTCACAGACAGGGTCTCAGAAGGAGACAGATGGCCTGAAAACACCCCAAGCCCCTCATGTGGCCTTCCTTGCCCCAGCCCACCCTGTGCTACTTCCTGGCCTGCTCGAATGGTCACTTGCTTAATACCTTCTTGGTCTTGGCCTTCCTCCCCCCTTGTTTTCTGAGAGAGCAACAAGGGATGGTAGTATTTGCTGCCTTCTTTACCCAGCTTGTCTGTGGACCCCTTAGAGCCAAGAGCCATGGCCTCTAAATCCTGCAGCGATTCAGCCAGCCCTGGTTCAGTATTGGGTCCAGAGCAGACCTCAACGAAAACACCTGCAATTGGCCTAATAAGTCCAGTCAAGAACCCTGGCAAATCTCTCACGTCTGGGTTGAGAAAAGCTTTTCCTTAGATGGTGAGAAAGAAAGATATGGCTGGGGAGGGCGTCCAGGGTAGACATGATTGAGGGAGATGCCTGAGGCTTGCTAGGGTGTATAGATGGAGGGTGCCTTGGTGAGGAGCGTGTGGGAGATTCACAGACAGGGTCTCAGAAGGAGACAGATGGCCTGAAAACACCCCAAGCCCCTCATGTGGCCTTCCTTGCCCCAGCCCACCCTGTGCTACTTCCTGGCCTGCTCGAATGGTCACTTGCTTAATACCTTCTTGGTCTTGGCCTTCCTCCCCCCTTGTTTTCTGAGAGAGCAACAAGGGATGGTAGTATTTGCTGCCTTCTTTACCCAGCTTGTCTGTGGACCCCTTAGAGCCAAGAGCCATGGCCTCTAAATCCTGCAGCGATTCAGCCAGCCCTGGTTCAGTATTGGGTCCAGAGCAGACCTCAACGAAAACACCTGCAATTGGCCTAATAAGTCCAGTCAAGAACCCTGGCAAATCTCTCACGTCTGGGTTGAGAAAAGCTTTTCCTTAGATGGTGAGAAAGAAAGATATGGCTGGGGAGGGCGTCCAGGGTAGACATGAAGCAGTCGATATCCATTGTATAGCTGCCAGTCACTCACACCCTGCTATAGACAGGCAAGCCTTCCAGAGCTTCCATGTCCTCAGTGTTGCCTCCTGAGTTGCTGAGGAGGGTGAGAGCTAATTAAAGGTGGGGAGCTTAGCCCATGGTAGGACCCATTATGTGGAAACTGTCATCATTACACATGCACACCATACACACGTATACACACACCCTGCCTACCTGTGGGGTATGTAGGTACAGAGAGGTACGCTACTAAGTTTCCTGGAAAAGCCATGGACTCAGAATGTTCCAGCTGAGAGAGAGAGAAGCAGGGAAACACACCGCCTGTCTGCCCAGGGTAGTTACCACAACGGCAGAATAGGGTGGTGGTTAAGAATTAGAGCTAGGCTGTATGCAAACCCCAGCTCAGCCACTAATGGGCTGTTTGGCTTCGAACAACCTATTTGACTTTTCAGCACTTCCGTGTCCTGATCTGTAAAGTAGGGTCATACTACCTCATGAGAGTGTTGTGAAAATTAAATGACTTAATATTTATAAAGCTCTTAGGACAAAGGTCAGCAAACTTTTCTGTCAATGGTCAAGTAGACATTTTTTAATAGAATTATTTATTTAACTTTTATTTGTTATTATTTTTTAATTTTATCATAGATACAGAGAAAGAGAGAGAAAGGGAAAGTGAGAAAGCAAGCCGTCAGGTTCAGGACTTGAACCTCAGTTAGCCATGTGGGAGTCCAGTGCCCTTAAACACCATGGCATCTGCTGGCCCCCTAAGTAGACATTTTTTGCTTGGCAAAAAAACTATTGCATACCTATTCTACTTTGTCATTGTATTGTGAAAATAGCCATAGTCAATATATTAATGACTGGGCATGGCTGTGTTCCAATAAAACTTAGGTTACAAAAATGGGCAGAGAGTCATATTTGGCCTGTGGGGTATGTTTTGCTGATCCCTGACTTAGAACAATACCTGGTACTTAGTAAGAGCTTGGTAAGTGTTCTTAGCATCTTTTGATCATATTCATGCATGGCCCTCCCCCCACACTTGCCATCCACAACATGAATGAGTCTTCTTCTTTGCCATTGGAAAGAAAGGGGCAGAACAAGGACTGCTTATTCTACTCCCCCCACTGTAGGCATAAAGCAACCCAATCTGTGGAGACCCAAGACTGTGGGTGACGGTGTTTCCTGCTCTTCCTTCTGCAGTCGGCCTATGCTGTGTCGTTGCTGCGGGAGTGTGTGAAGCTGCGGCCCTCAGACCCCACCGTGCCCCTGATGGCTGCCAAGGTCTGCATTGGGTCCCTGCACTGGGTGAGTGAACTTGGGACAGGGGAGGCCAGGCTCAGATCCTGGTGGCTTCCTGTGGGCAGATGGCAGCAGGAGGGCAGACAGTAGGGTGAGCCCAACTCGGTGTGTATTTTAAGGTACATGCTTGGTATATGGGTAAGTCATAGGGACAGGGAGAAAGGCTTCTGAAAGACAGCAGCAAGTCTTCCACTCAGATAACGTCCACTTTGTGCTTCAGATTTGAAATTTGGAGAATAGAGCTACCCTACCTGCCTAGCTGTAGGGATAATGAGCAAGACCTTGGAGTTACCTGACACAGCCTCATTTCAGAAGCTTCAGATATTATAACACAATATCTAAGAACCTGTGCAGCATGATTCTGAGTGGTCAGAGCCCACTCTCATCAGAATGAGAAGGTGGTCTCTTCTGTCAGCCCCATTCCAGGGTCTGGCTGCTACTCCATAGACCAAGAGTCTATGAGGACTCTTGGTCCTATGATACTGAGCCCAGGGATGGGGCCCATGTAGGGCTACCCCCTTAAAGTCTTTCTTGGCTTTCTAAAGTCCCAATCAGCCTCCTGATGTCAGGAGTGGCCCTATCTCTATTCCTATTTCTACCTGCTGAGTGACACAAAACAAGTATATTATCCCTCCAAGCAATGACCATCAGTCCCATCCCCTCCACATCTCCTCTTCTTCAGGCTAGGTAGTCCCAATTCCTTCATCTGCCAAAGTGAGTGCTTTGCCGGAGGGCAGCTGGCCCTCACTTCCTGCTGGTCTGATCTCCCCAGCCCACCCCTTGCTCAGTTCTAAAGCAGCAGGAGCCAGGCTCCAGCTGTGTACAGCAGACACTTCATGATTAGCAGCCATTATAGCTCCTCTGGCCACTCTCCCCTCCTGCGACATCCAACAGTCAGACCATGCTTGGGAAAGCAGGTGATAAGCTCCCTGTAAATTCTGTGTTCTAACCCTTCCCTCCGAGGACTGGAAACCAACACCATCCCTCTCTGGGGTCCCTGCCCTGTTGTCCTGGTAAGACTCACCTCCTCCCTGCTGCAGAGAGAGAAAAGCCTAGCATCTGGCCCTTGAGCTCTATGGTCTTCATTCTAGCTGGGGAGAATTATCTGAGACCAATCCTTTCACAGGCTGTAGGTTTTTGGAAGGGGCCACATGATGAGGTGGGTATGTTTCACTGCCCACCCACTCGGTGGTCTTCAGTAGGGCCCATAATCTCACTAGACATAAGTTTCTTCATCTGTAAAATAGAAATAATAGCAATCTCTTTCAGCCGTGACATAAATGACATAAAGTGTGGAGAGGGCTGGATAGGTCAGGAAGGGTCAGGGAAGAGGAGGCCTCGGACTGGGCTTAGAGGCCGGGAAAAGATACAGGCAGGCCAGTGGCAGACCCTTTTATCACAGCTTGCTTTCCCTAGCCTTATGATTAGAAAGGAACCCACTTGTTCCCTGGGTCTTCGTGAGAAGACTGTTGGCATCTTGCTCTCTAGTGATTAAACACTTAATCCCTCATGATTAAGCACTTCAAATGAAGGTGGTGTGACATACCAGAGAGGAAGAGACCCAGGCTGAGCACATGCAGCAGAAATGGTGGGTTCAGAGGGGTGGGCTCCCCAACCCTTGCTTGTTCCCAGGGCTTCTGAGAGGGGCCTCAAGCTCATCACTAGGAGGAAGCCCAAAATACTCATCTCTCTGGGGGTGGGACGGAGGAGGGCATCTGTGCTCCTACAGGCTGCCAGCTCTGAGGTAGCTGCAGGTCCACCCAGCCAATGGCTGCCCTTGCCAGGAAGCCCTAAATTTAGGTCTTCCCACCACGGAGGAGCTGTTTCCCTCAGCAGCATAATTACAGTAATTATGTGCATTCGGATTACATGGTAATAAAATTAGGATCAAATCAGTCCAAATTGAAATCAGATGAGTTAGGAGCAAAGTAATCAATGACAACATAAATAGAAAAGCCCAAAAGGAAATTTAAACAAGCAGACTTGTCATCAGAATCAGGGCAAAGGGTGAGTTATTTAACCTCAGCTGAGCAGCCTATGTGGGTTTAGGGGCCAAGGATTAAATCAGACGCAGGCTAGAGTAAGGTCTTGCTGGTTGCTGGGGGTGGGCTCCTGGCAGCCTTCCCTAGTCTGGAAGCCTCTATTCCCTGTACCTCCTAAAGTCTTGTTTATACCTGGCTGGACATAGATCGCATATCATTGAAGATAGAAACTGGCTCTCTTTGAAACCCCAGCCCAGAAACCCCAGTGCCTGGTATTCATAAAATGCCCCTGAGCATAGTCACTTGGCAATGAATTCTTTTTTATAAGGTACTTGTCTTCCCAACTAGAGGAGACCTCTTCACTTACCATGTCTCATGCTGACTTCCCCCTCGCAAGGACGCCTGCATGTTGTAGGTGTTCCTAATAACTTAGAAAGTGACACTCGCCCCACCTGGCCAGGAAAGGATGGTTGCGAGATCTATATTTGGTTCCGTGGTTCTCCCTGTTCTCTGTGGCTAATTCTTACTCCCTGGGTTGGTGCTACGCAGAGAGCAGGCTATGGTGTAGCCGAGGGCAGCTTGTTCTCCAGGGGGGGCCAGAAGATGGGCATCCCAGCACTCTCTGTTCCTGAGTCTCGCAGCAGGAAGAATGGGTCTGACAAGCAGTCAGGGAGTGTTAGTGTATGGGACAGGGTGAAGATTCTGAAAGGTGTCTCACACCCCCTCCGTCTCCCTCCATCTCCTGCCTCCACAGCTAGCTATTCTGGCTCACGTCAGCCCCCAGCAGGCCCAGCCATTGCCCAACAAGCCTCATGAGCAGAGGACAGAAATCTGGGGGTGGACAATTTGGCCTGGCTTGCTGGAAAGGAGATTGAAACTGGGACATCTGAAAAACAAGTTATGCTGGATGAAACTGACCTGGGTGGCCCTGTGCCCATAGGCGGAGTACCTGCTGTCCCCACATCCTGTCCTCATACTCAGAGCCAGCATGGGACTCCCCAGGCTGGGTCTGGGCCTGAGAGCAACATTTCTCCTGGGCGGAGGCCAGACAGAAGGATTTCTGTGATCACATGCTGGCTGACCTGGGAGTATACAACAGGTGGGAGTAGCTGGGGCAGGTTTGGGGTTGGAGGGGAGATCCTTGGCCCCAGGGCTTAGCCTGAGGCTTCCTGGATATGTGTGTGTGGGATTGGGAGAAGGTTTCCCAGGCTCCGACCCAGTGAAAGCAGTACAAAAACCAGAAAGGCCTGCATGGCAGCCTACTGCCTTGGCATGGACAGCATTCTGCCAGGGTCTCCATTTTGGGGCCAGAGGAAAACAAGATGTACACATTTTTTGGTACCCCTCCAAATGCAATTATTTACAATTCAGCTAACGTAATGAGTGGAAACTTGCATAGGCAAAGATGATGGGGCGTGCATGTGTGCTGTGTGTCCCAGACAGGAGACGAGGCTGTGAAACGATGGGGCACGCTCTCCTTTGGCAAGGTCTGTAGCATCACAGACCTCTCTCATCTTTCCCTGAGGTGGGAAGCAGTGCTTTGAGGGCACAGAAGCTAGAGTTCAAATACCCACCAACTCCCTCTCCAGCTGTGTGACTTGGAGGGAATAATTTACCTTCCCTGTGTCTCAGTTTCCTCATCTGTAACCTGGAAATAGCTATGTTCATGGTCATGGAGTAGCAGGGAACACCAGAGTTGAGAGAGGTGTGACCCTGCCTAGCATGTCGCAGGTACCTGTAAATGGTAGCTGTCACAGTTATAACACCTTCAAAAGAGCAGACACTCAAAAAGAATGTGCCTTTAAGTTTTTGCCTTCGTTTTCCAAACTCAGGAGTGGGCAGAGCCAGGAGGATGGATTAAGTGCTTATGAGGCAGAGAAAAAAGAGTGCCAACCCTCCTGCCACCAGCTTGTAGAAATTAAGAAGACTGCCTACCTTCCAAGGAAAAAAATGGGGATTTTTTTTCAGTAGAACAGCTAGCAGTAGGCTTAACAGTAGGTTCAGGGCTCTGTGGGAAGAAACAAGGAGGTGGGGGAAGTGTTCTTTAAATGAAGCTCTGTAGGCTCAGAAATGAACTTTCTCTAGTTCTCAGGAAGAAAGGAAGATTCGGGAACCAGCAGTTAGTGTAACGGCTATGTCACTGGATTCCCACGTAGTCGACCGTGGTTCACGTCCCGGACCTGGTGGCTTGGAACTCACGCCGGGCGCGTGTGCGTGTGTGCCCAAGATCCTGAGAGGAGAATGGAGAAGGGATTGCAGCGTGACCATCCTCCCTGAGGAGTGATTTCTCGCTTTCTGTCTCTATGTCTCTCTCTGTCTGTCTGGCGAGCGCACACGCCCTATAGCAAAAACCTCTCAAAAAAAAAGAAAGGAAGATTCCAAGGGTAAAACCTCTTTGGCCCACTACAAAGTGAATGAGGCAGCCCTGAGCACCAGCAAAGTGTGCAAGCAGGGAGTCTGTCTGTGTAGGAACCAAATTAGGAAAACTGGTGAGATACAGGTACTTGTAAAGTCAGAAGATTTTTCCTTACTGACATAAAGCAAAAACAATGGGTCAAAACAATATATACCCTTCAATGTATGCTTTTACCAAAGGGTCAGAGAAGAGAATGAAACACTACGGAGTGGCCATGAATTAGATTTAGCATCAGGAGTCCTGGGTTGGAAATAAAGTTCTGCCATTTCCTAGGCAGGTGGCCTTAGGTCACTTAAGGTGCCTGTGCCTCAGAACCTTTGGCGGTAAAATACCTTCCATCAATAGATGTGGTGCTGTGAAAATGCCAGGAGCCCCTCCATCACTGTCAAATTGCAAGGGAGGATGCAGAGGCAGATCTTCACCTGGTTAGTGTGACGAGGAGACATGGCTGGACAATGGTAAAGAGGGTACTAAAGAGCAACGTGTCATTGAGAGGAGAAAGGTTGCAAAGAATTCTGAAAACCTCTTACCCTGGAAGTATTTTGATGAGCAAGGAGGGCCCAGCGCCATAACCTGAGCTTGTTAAAACAGCAGCCATGGGACCAGCAGTTAGCGTAATGGCTATGTCACTGGACTCCCACGGACTATGGTTTCACTGGACTCCCACGTAGTCGACTATGGTTCAAGTCCTGGACCTGGTGGCTTAAAACTCATGCCAGGCGCCTGTTCATGCGTGCCCAAGATCCCGAGAGGAGAATGGAGAAGAAGGGATTGCGGTGTGGCCATCCCCCCTGGGGGGTGATTTCTCTCTTTCTGTCTCTCTGTCTCTCTCTGTCTGTCTGGCGAGCACACGCGCCCTATAGCAAAAGCCTCTCAAAAAAAAAAACAAAAAAACAAAAAACAGCAGCCACCAGCTGTTAACTTTGAGGCCACAGGAGGAAGTGTGTGGAGACTGGAAATGACTCCTGGCACCAGGTGAGGAGGAAGATGACTAAGATGGTTGTAGGAGGACAGGTGCTGGGCTGCTCAGTGACTGTCCAGCAATGCCCTACCACCTAAGCCACTGCAGCTGGAACAGTTAGACTTTTTTTTGGTTTGTTTTGGGATTTTATTCGGGGGGGGGGGTGGCTATCGGGCATATGTGCTTATAGCGACAGAGAGAGTGAGAAAACATCCTCCATAGGATGACTATTCCACAACCCCATATTCTCCATTCTCCTCTCAGGATTTTGGGCACACATGTACATACACAGTGTGTTTTTCAAACTGCCAGGTCCAGGACTCAAAACTGTGCAGTTAGCCATGCAGGATCTAGTTGCCATAACCTCCATACCCTCTGTTGCCTGAGTTCATTTATTTGTGTGTGTTTGTTATTTCTCCTATGAACAAGCAAGAGAAACAGTGAAAGGGATAGCACCCCAACAGGGTTCCAATATTGTGAGCCATCCCCAGCCTTCAACCAGACCCATATCAGGGGCATGCACACTCACAGAGGTCTCTGGACTAAAGCCATGAAGAGCATCATGTTTTACCCTCATGCCACCATCTGACTCCAACTTTCTCTTTTTTTTTTTTTTTCGGAGAGTTTTTTGCTATAGGGTGCATGCACTTGCTGAAAAGAGAGAGAGACAGAGAGACAGAAAGCGAGAAATCACCCCCCGGGGAGATGGCCACGCCTCAATCCCTTCTCCTCCATTCTCCTCACGGGATCTTGGGCATGCACGCACACATGCCTGGTGTGAGTTTAAGCCACCGGGTCCAGGACTCAAACCATGGTCGACTACATGGGAGTCCAGCGACATAGCCATTACGCTAACTGCTGGTCCCTCCAACATTTTTTTTTTAGAGAGATTTTTGCTACAGGGCACATGCACTCATTGGAGACACAGAAATAGAAAGCGAGAAATCACTCCCTAAGGGGGATGACTATGCCACAATTCCTTTTCCTCCATTCTCCTCTCGGGATCTTGGGCACATGCCCCTTCCAGGGGCATCAGGTAGTAGTGGGGTTTCCCCAGCTACTGCCTCCCCTGGTTAAGTCCTCAGGTCTGATGATGCCAAAGGCAGAAGCCCAGCTCCCCTGACTCCCTCACCCTGTCAGTGACCAGCCTACCAGCCTAGAGGTGGCCCATTGCCTAGCTTGGCAGCATGAGCTCAGCCATGAGGCAGCTGGAGGGCTGCCCTGGTCAGCACGGGTCAGGGTGCTGGACAGGACAGTGTCTCTTTGGGACATCTAGTGACTCACTCTGTTTCTCTTGTACTGTGGCTTTATTTTCTCCCTCTCTGCATAGTGGGTTTGATCTGTGTGTTCATATAGCTCACCACAGCACTGCCCAAATGGTGGACTCAGCCCAACTTGCCTTCCCAGGGCTCATGGCCTGTCTCAGGATCTCAATTCCAACCTCCACCAGCTAAGAGGCTCTACCAGCCCAGGTGTGTCCAGGATCAGACCCCACAATGCACACAACTGCCCTCTTCTGCCAGGACAGCATAGAAGAGGGCAGGGACAGTACTGTCTTTGCTTCCAGAAGCGAGCTTGAGTTTGAATCTAGCTCCCCAGTTGGCTGACTTTGTAAGCCTGTGACTTGGGGAGACGCCCATGGTTAGGAGGCTTTGATGTCTGGGTGGCACAGAAGAGTTTGGGAGTGATGCATTCAGCCCCCTTACTGTGGGCAGTGCCAATCTTGGTAACAGAGGAAGCATCCCTGCCCTCTCTGGAAACTAGTATTCTCAGTGACATGAATTTGGGCATACTGCCACACCAAGCACGTGGGCAGATGACATTTCCTGGGTCTGGTGGAAGAGAGGGGGTTTTCTTGGAGGCATATAGAATGTGATGGGATGAGGCTGAGGCTCCTGCTGATTCCTGCCTCCCCAACCAGCCTGACGGTTGTAGGTGCCCCAGAGTGCTCATGAGGCCTGCCTCATGTGCCACTCTCGTTATGTCTCGTGATGCATGTGATGATGTGTGCACATGTGACCGCACCAGTTGGTCATTTTCCAACTGGAACAGTCCCTCCTACTCCCAGGACAGAAACAGCCCTAGGCCTTTTTCCCCTGAAAGTTTGAGCTTCTTGTCTCAAGGGAGGGAGCAAGCTTACAGATGTAGCCAGGGTGGCAGCCCGCCTGCTGTATGGGGCTGGTGAGTACCAGCGAGACTCATGTTCCCAAGGCCCAGCCCCAGAGCCCTGCCTGCACACTAACCCTGGCTCCCTGCTGTCTGCTGAGTGTGTGTGTGTGTGGGGGGGGAAGGGGGGAGTGGGGACACAGACCCAGAGCCCTGCAGAGGCCACATGAGCAGTTGCTGGCACAGACTGGCCTGGTCCTGGGCTCATGCTCTCAGAACAAGTTTTAGGGAGTTGGGGTCTCTGAAACAAGGGAAGCTTCTCTCTGTGAGAGCACAAGGCCCACAGTGGGAGAACAGGTCCAGGAAATCACTTGCTGGTAGAGATAACTCTGATGTTTCCCTTCAGTGATTGTGTGGCCTCAGCAGGCCACCTGGCTTCTCTGGTCATGCTGCCCACATGTGAAGAACTGCAGTTCTTGTCCGCTCTTACCCAGCTGCATCCTGGACTGGTGGTTATGAGTTGTCTTGCCCTTCCAGGGACAGCAGAGCCCTTGCCAGTGACCTCTATCTCTGCCTCTCTCCTTTGCAGCTGGAGGAGGCTGAGCACTTTGCCTTGATGGTGATCGGCCTTGGGGAAGAAGCTGGGGAGTTCCTCCCCAAGGGCTACCTGGCACTAGGTCTCACCTACAGCCTACAGGCCTCTGACGGTGAGTGCCTGCCCCTAAGAAGCCTCTCCCTGGGGATGACTCGATGGACAGAGCTACGTTGGCACCTCTCTGTTAGCTCCTGTTGATCAGTCTCCATCCTGTCTCCTGCAGCCACCCTGAAGTCCAAGCAGGATGAATTGCACCGGAAGGCGCTGCAGATGCTGGAGAGGTAGGACACTCCAATTCCCACAAAGGTCCCTCTTGACTTTGGTGGCATGAGGTGGTGCAATCACGTGTTTTGCTACATCCAGCCCTCTGATGTAGACAAAGCAAAGATTTATATCTCTGTTTTATGGTCAAGAAAACCACAGCTTTGCAAGGTCACACAGCAGGAAGGGACCAGCTTTGGGGCTGGGCAGACAGGTGAGCCCTACTCTCAGCTCTGGGCCTGCAACACTGGTGGAGCTCCCACTGACAGACAGAAGCTGGGGTTACAGAGCACCAGGCTCAGCCACACCTTCCCAGGGTTCAGAGCTCTAAGATGGAGATCATAACCCATTATTGCTTTGATAATTACACAAGGTAAAGCAGGAAAAACACCTTGCACAGTGTTCTACAAGTAGCAGAGGCTCAAAAAAATCTGATCCCTTCTTAACCACCTGAGGGTTATGGGACACCCTTCCCCAACCCCTAAAAGACATTTCCTGGCAGCCCAGGGTCAGGGAAGGAGGGAGAGGCAGCAAAACCCCTCCCTCTAGGGGTGCCCTCCCTTGAGCCCATTCTTACTCAGCCCTTCTTCTCCACTGCAGCTTCCACCTGAGCCTCCCTCTTCCCTCCCCTTCCTCTCTCTCTATCCTCTGGCCCATCCCATGTGTTCCATCTGAGTCCATTGCATGTGTCCCACTCCCTCTCAAGCCCTGATGTGGCAGTACTGTTGGGTAGGGCTTGGCTCAGACTCTGAGCCAGCTTCATGGGAACATATGGCATTTCAACCTCACTCTGGGGCACACTGTTCCCCAGACCAAGGAGGTGTAGGAGGTTCCAGTCCTGGCTAAGCCCCACTAAACTCTGAGGATGGGAACTTTTCCCTCTGTCCCTCACCAGCTCTTCATAACTAAGGCCTTTTGCCCAGACAGGCCATTCTTAGGCCCTCTACCCTCAGGTAGCCATGAACTTGTGCCCTATAATGGAGAGGCCATAGCTGGCCTGACAGGTACTCAGAGGTAAGGGACCAGGCCTGTGTGATGTGCATATACACACCATCTTCCACCACTCCATATTCCTACCCCTCCCTCTGAGTCTGTCTTCTCAGGGCTCACAGATGGCTCCTACCTTAGCTAGTGCCAGCCCTCTCAGAGCCACCATCCCTGCTTTGGGCTTCCTGGGGCCTTCTGTCAGAGCCATCATCTCCCACTTAGGGACTCCTCTAAAGTGGGGCTTGGCAGAATCCCCCAACATATAGTTCATAGCACCCAATTTAGGGCCAACATGCTGAAGCCCCAAGTCCCACACTGGTTACTCAGCCCTTGGTGACTGACTTGTCACTACCTCTCCCTATACAGAGCCCAGCAGCTGGCACCTGACGACCCCCAGGTCATCCTCTATGTCTCCCTGCAACTGGCCCTCGTCCGACAGGTGGGTTGTAACAATTCCTAACCCTCAGGTTCTAGGGGCTGCTGATCTTCTGGCAAGTCTTCTTACCAGCTGTGTGACCCTCTGCAAGTGACTTAACCTCTCTTTGCCTGTTTCTTTATCTGTTACTTGAGCATATTCATACCCCTCTCAGAGGGCAGACGAAGTCAGATAATGTGGGTAAAGCTGCTGACCTGTGATGGGCACAGAATAGACCGATTGGCACATGGAATTGTTTCTGGTTGGGCCTTCTATGTGACCCCAAAGATTCTGCCTGTCCCTGTGGATACCACTATCAAGGTTTGGCCTCAGGCCCAGGGCAGGGGCCTCCTATCTGCTGATCACCTGAGCCCTCTAAGACCACTGCCACCAACCCATTGGCTCTAGGTATCCCACTTCTCTCACCCATTTGGAGATGGGGGCCTGAAGCCTGGTCTCACTGGGCCCAGGAGTTTGGTCTTACTGGTACGTGTCAAGGTTTAGCCTCCTACCTGGCCTTCAGTTCGTTCAGCAAGCCGTGCTTCTCCTGACTCCAGGCTGTGTGCTGGCTGCCTCACCTTCCCCTTAATCCCTGCACTGGCCTGGCTTCTCTTGCTGCAGTTTCTCCTTGCTGGGGCCCCTTTCCTCTCATCCTACGCCTCCAGGTCCTTCTGTCTTCGCCATTTTCTCCCAGTGGCCCTGCTGTCGTTCCCGCTGTTGTTCGCTACTCCTCTCCTCTTGCACCACCCACTCCCATGACTCACCCCATCCCTCCTCCACCTCCCAGCCTATCCCAGCCCTGCTCCTCACTGCGCCCACACTCCCGAGTCCAGGTCCTGGACCAGGCCTAAGGACCTCTATATCTCTCTCTCCGGGAGCCTTGCTCTACTACCAGAACACCAGTGGAAAGATACCTGAGACTGTTTTATTTTTAGTCCTCTGTAAAAGAACCAGTGCTTTTCTTGCCAATCAAGTTAATGATAATGCTCCGGTGATGCATTTTTAAATCTGTTTAATTATTCACCCATCTATGATGACTAGCATCTATCCTCCAGAGAGATGACTGGGCCAGTCTAGTGGAGGCTGGTGAGCAGTTTCCCTGGGGCCCCTGAGTCTTAAAAACCTCAGGGAGATGAGGGTCCCCTGAATGGACTCTAAGCCAGCTCACCTGCCTCGGTCTCTAAGACTCTTCAACCAGCACCTCCTGTCCAGAGCAGTGACAGCTATGGGTTTGGGTACCTAGCCCAGGATGATGGAGTCTGCCCTAGCACAATCACCAGGGGAGGAGCAGCCTCAGGGAGGCAGCCCCGGGGAAGTTGAGCCAGCAGTGACAATGACCTTTGCTTCTTTCTCAAATTCTCCTTGAACTATTTGCAAAGCAAGGTCCTCCTGGTAGTGCCCACAGCCTGTGCAAAGGTCATGATGCAGACTGGGGACCCAGGGCCCCACAGGAGCACGGGAAGCTGTGTCTGAAGCTTGGTAAGGGGCAAGACTTACACAAACATTCATAAGGTTCCCAAGGGGATGGACCTGATGTGGATGGAGTCGCAGGAGCTAAGGCAACTCCTGGACCTGAGATCATGAGGGCAGATGTGCCTCAGAACAGATGGACAGATCTTACCCGTTCCTTAGCTTCTTGGGCTTGGGGTTCCTTGAAAAGGGAAACGCACACTTTGCAGTGTTATAGCAGCACACTATAAGACATTTTTTATACCATGTCTCATTCTCATAACCACTAAAATATCAATAGGTATGACCATTATCCTCCTGTCGCAGCAGAAAAGCTACAGCTCGGAGAAGTGAATCCCTCTTGCCCTAAGGGGCCAGACAGAAAGTGGCAGAACTGGGACCCACACCCCAACCTGACCCCAGAGCCCAGGCTCTTACACTGCAAGCTTTGAGATGGGACAGAGCGGAGGGTGTCTGTCAGCCACTAAGCAAGTGGTTTTTTTCTCTGTCTCCTCTTGAACAGGTTCAGGAAGGAGGCCTGATCAGCTCTGGGTCTATAGCTAGCCAATTCAGTGACAGGGTCAGGCCTTACCAGCCCTGCAGCAGCTGCTGGGCTCTCTCCCAGTCCTCCCTCTATCATACCTTGTCACGGCCTCCACTCCCAACACTAGGTGAATGAGGTGCGGGGCAAGGCGGAGACTGGTATTTCAACAGGGAGCAAAACTGTGAACTAAGGGTGCTTAGCCACAGTATGTGGGAGAAAAGACTCAGGCATCCTGGGAAGTTGGGCCAGGCTGGAGGTGCTAGATATTTGGGGATGGGGGGCGGGTGGTGGTCAACTGTGCCCTGCCATTCCCCTGAGCCCATAACTTATGAAGAGACTGGCGCTGACCTGACACAGGTTTAGAATCCTGCGTGCGAGCTCACAAGTGAGCACTGGCGAGTCAGCGTTCCCATGTGGGAGGCCCTGTTGCTGTTACCTAGCTCTGTAATGCTGGGCCTGTCAGGGTGGGGACATTTGAAAGCCGGAAGGGAAAGAAGGTAAACAAGCATATTTGTTTACTTGGACTTTAGCTCTTTTAACTCTTCTAAGGCAGAGCACATGCCTAATTTGCTGATAAGGAAACTGGTTTCACAGAGGCAATAGCATCAGGGACAAAGGCTAGTGAGCTGCAGAGCCACGCTAGAACCCCACCCTTATGAATTCACAAATACAATTCTCTTTCTACAACACCTCACCTGGCTGAAACAACCATAACTGATCGATGTAAGAGGCAGGAAGGTGCCATCAGAGGCAGGGGTGCTGAGCAGGGTGCGATGCCTCTGGGTGTGTTTGGTGGAGAAAGGAGGGACTACGTAAGGGGGATGCAGGTCACATGAAACTGCTCTGCGAGCTACTGTAGAAACCAGTGCTGACCGGCCTCTTGAAAACAACTGCTCGCTTTAGTGACGACCAAAATTTTCTTTTCTCCCTAATGCTTGTGGGAACTTTTCCTGGACCCTGCCAGGGTGTTTAGCTGGGGTCATGAGATGAGGAGCTTTTCTCTCTGAGCTTATTGATTTCCCTGGCGGAGCAGTAGATAGGTAGAGATTCTAACAGGTGCACTTGGAGTTGAGAGAGGCACGCAGGGAATGTCAGCAACCTGTGGGAGTATTATGTTAAGAATGTTTCTTTGGGAAAAGGGAGTTCCTTAAAGCATCCAAATTCCCCCATAGGGTCCACCTGTGAGCAGGGATACATCTGGCAAGGTGTCAGGCAGCCAGGCAGATGTGTGGTCTTAGCCCCAAAACTGTCCCTGTGGGATGTACTGGACAGTTGATTGACCTGGGTAACCCTGTTACTACTTGCAAAAGGGCCATGGCCATAGCCACAAGTCACAAAGGCCCTCCACAGCTAGATCTAGTAAGGTACTAGGGCCCTGTCTGGCAGGCTAGGCAGGGGCAGTAGAAGGTGCCTTTCCCTGCTCTACCTGCCCCTGCTCAACTCACCAACAGGGTTCTCAGAGCAGCTGGGACCTGCCCTCTTTCATGGAGCACTCTGAGAAGAAAAACAATAAACCCAAGCCAGGGAAAGTAAAGACTCATGGCAGTCCCTGGTCTCACTGCTCTGAACTCTACCCACACCCAAAGGCAAGGATTTCCTCAGGCACCAGGGGATGCCTGCAGAGGCTGCTCACTGCTTCACATGCCTGGACCCTCCAAGTGTGGCTTCTCTTATCCTGTCCATCTGACCTCATCCCACCCAGCCTTCCATCTTTTGTACAGAGCCAGGCTTACTAATTATTTGTTGAACTGAAGGAAAACATTTTAAAGAATAGGACCAGAATCTGGATAGGCCCCAAACGGTGCCCATGTTAACAGCCAGTGCCCCTCTTCTGGGCCCTGGTCTCTGCATGCCTCCCTGCCTCCGGTCAAACTGTTCCCCTTGCCTGGAGCACCTTCTTTTGGAAAACAGGCAGTCCCTTCCCTCCCTCTGGGCAGGACCTAAGTAACCTGTGTTAGAGTTCCAGGAAAATGTTTCTACAAGCAGCCAAGACTGCCTCTCCCTGGAGCTTCCGCTCCTCCAGCATGTGAAATGCTTCCCAGTGTCTACCCAGGCCCTATGTGCCATACTTTAGACCTGCTCCTCCTTAGTCCTGAGTGGGACAGCAGGTCCCTCCTTGCTAGGCTAATTGGGGGATATATTTTCTTGCAGCACCATTCTTGCTCTCCCCACCCCCGCAGTGTCCGGGCCTCACTTGAGTATGCCTGGGGCGCCCTCTTTGGCTGTGCCCAGCCCCAGAGTCTGGGGAGGTGGGTGCCCAGGGAAAGCCCCTAAGCCCGTGGGTTTCCTTTGGCAGATCTCCAGTGCCATGGAGCAGCTGCAGGAAGCCCTGAAGGTGTGCAGGGATGATGTCAATGCCCTCCACCTGCTGGCCCTGCTTTTCTCCGCACAGAAACACTACCAGCATGCCCTGGACGTCACCAACATGGCCATCACGGAGTACCCCGAGAACTTTAAGTGAGTTCCATGGGGACACTGTTGGGCTGGGGGTAAGCTGGCCACACTCTGTGCTGTCAAGTCACAAGCCAATACGCAAAGGATAAGCACCCACTGCATGCGCACTTCCAGGTGGAGAAGCAAGGCGGTGAAGACCTGTAAGGTGGGCGAATGGTTGTAGTGGTGCTGGGGGCGGGCGTATGTGTGGGAGTCTATGCTCTCCTACACCTCCACAGGAGGCTGCATGGACTGCAGAAGAGGTCGTGCTTGAAAGCACACGCTCAGCTGCCTGCATCCCATCCAGGACTCTGCATAAGTCCCATGAGAGCGCCAACTTGCGTAACCTAATCATAACCCTGACAGCAGCCAAGGATGGGATTCTAACCATGGTCAGGCTTGCAGAAGCTGGAGTGCCATCCTCCTGCCTCCAAGGAGGCCGACTGCTTCTTCTTTGCCGGCCGCTGGGATGGGCTCTCCAGGGTGAGCCTGCTCCTCCACAGCACCCCTTACTGCATCAGCCAGATGCCTCTCTTCTTGACACAGGATTCAACTCACACTTGGCCCAGGCAGCAAGTAGGAGGGTCAGGACTAGGTCCTCCTACCCCCACTCGTACACAGAGGACCTGCTGTCACCCAGTTAGGACAAGAACAGGAACTGTGCTGGGCCTACTGAGGCAGCAGGGTGTGTTGTTCTGTGTGAGGGAGCTAAGGAGAGTTCATCTTTCGATTTTTGCCCTCCTCACCTCAGGGGCAGGTGCCACAAGTGTCGCAAGTTTTATTTCTCTGAATCCTGTGATCCCTGAGTGAGGGGCTCCTAAGCACCCCTCCTCCCTCCCTGTTCCACTTGAGTCTGAAGAAAGACCATTTAGGGACCAGCAGTTAGCGTAATGGCTATGTCACTGGACTCCCATGTAGTCGATCGTGGTTCGAGTCCTGGACCTGGTGGCTTAAACTCACGCCGGGCGCGTGTGCGTTTATGCCCAAGAGCACAAGAGGAGAATGGAAGAGAAGGGATTGCGGTGTGGCCATCCCCCCTGGTGGGTGGTTTCTCTCTTTCTGTCTCTCTGTCTTTCTCTGTCTTTCTAGCGAGTGTACGTGCCCTATAAAAAAAAAAAAAAAAAAAAAGCCATTAAAAGCCACTGTAAGGCTAACCTGTGCCAGACGATAGGAAAGATACCAGGGTCCTTGTTACCCTGAGAAGTGACTCATGCAGGCAGTATAAACAGGTTCACAAAGAATTAAGGAAAATTGGAGGGTGCCTAGGCAGTGATGGGTGATGAAGGGAAGCTGGAAGTGTCCTAGCTCTGGGAAGTTCCCTTCACAGGGAAACCTGGGCTTCCACCTCTGCCCCTCCCTAGCCTGTTAAAGACAGGGCTGACTGCAGGAGCAAGGCTCAGGCTCTCCTGTGCCCTTGGCCTCTTTCAGAGGACGCTGTAGGTGGTTTTGCTTGTGGCTTTTGCCAAGGTGCTGAGGACGGCTGTGGATGACTTTCTCCTTGCCAAAGCTAAAGAAAGGTGCTTCCAGAGTGGCAGAGTTTCTGAAATATAAACTCCATATATAAAATGTGCCCCACCGAATAAGGCCAAGGGCTGACATTCCTCCCACCTGTCAACCTAGTCCACACCCCTAAGACCCCTGAGCCTGGCCTCCTTTCCCTAATCTAGACAGACCCTCCTCCTGCAGCATGCTAGCTCCTGACTCTGCCCATTTTCCTGCCGCTGTGGCCCAGGCAGGTCCCTGCTGCCCACAGCCAGGTGTAAGCAAAGTGTATAGCCAGTTTAATATAGCCCATCCTTTGTGCTCAAGGGACAGCCTTGAATCTGAGCCCTGATCCAGCATTTAAGAGACTATTAAAATTCAATTCCTGGGACCAGCAGTTAGTGTAATGGCTATGTCACTGAACTCCCATGTAGTTGACCACAGTTCGAGTCCCAGACCCAGTGGCGTAAACTCATGCCAGGCGTGTGTGTGTGCATGCCCAAGATCCCGAGAGAAGGGATTGCAGCGTGGCCATTCTTCCTGGGGGGTGATTTCTTGCTTTCTCTCTCTCTCTCTCTCTCTGTTTCTCTGGCGAGCGCATGTGCCCTATAGCTAAAACCTCTCAAAAAAAAAAAATTAATTCCCTTTACTTTAAAAGGAAAGTAGTGAGACTAGCAGATGGTGTAGTGGTTACGACACTGGACTCCCACATGGCTGACTATGGTTCACATCCTGGACCCAGTGGCTTGAAACTCATGCCGGGTGCTTGTACATGCACACAAGATCCCAATAGGAGAATAGAGGAGAAGTGATTGCGGCATAGCCATCTTCTCTAGGGAGTGATTTCTCACTTTCCTTCTCACTGTAACTGTCTGGCACTCTCTTACTAGCACATGCGCCCTAAAGCAGAAAACAAAACAAAATAAAACTCTAAAAAAATATAAAATAAAAGGAAAGTAGTTTAGAGAATCCTAAAACACTAAAAACAGTGTGTGTGGACAGGGATTAATTACCCTGTCTCATTCATCCCAATTATAATACAGCAATACAGAGTGATAAAATTTTGTGTTTTATTTTAAGGAAAATACAGAAAAGACAAAGTTTCTTTACTACCAATGCTAGTACCTTGCTTTATCCCAGTCACCATCTTCACACCGTTAGGGTCTGATCCACTGCTGTGGGTGTACATGCTTGGGCATTTATGTGTCTGTGTACCTACTTATGTTTGTACCTATGTTCCCGTGCATGTATGCCAGTGTGTATTTGTGTGTGCGTGCACATGCACACACATGTATGTATACATGTATGTTACTATTATCAGACTTAGGGAGAAACAGAAACAGTCAAAAAGAAAGGTTTAGATAATTGGCATCCCAGAAGGTGAAGAGACTTATAAAGGCATTGACAATTTATTCCATAAAATCCTGGAAGAAAACTTCCCAAACCTAGCGAGACATTCAAAGATCCAGACCCCAAAAATACAAAGGACACCAAATAGGATCAACCCAAGATCTTCTCCAAAACACATTGTAGCCAGAATGACCAAAACCACAGACAAAGACAAGATACTCAGACTGGTAAGAGAGAAACATCAAGTTACCTACAAAGGATATCTCATCAGGCTAATAGCACGGACCTCTCATCGGAAACAATGACAGCAAGGAAAGAATGGAAAAATATATTCAAAGTGTTGAGTGTAAAACAATTTCAACCAAGAATACTGTATCTGGCAAGATTATCCTTCATATGGGAAAAGAAGACAAGAACATCTTCAGATAAACAAAACCTGAAGGAATTTACGAACACCAGACCAGCTCTCTAAGATGTTCTGAAGGGAGTGCTATCCAACAAAAACTAAAATCAGACACAGAAATAAGAGTTCTAAACAGCTAAGAAAATGGCTAGCTTAATGGTAGAAACAAGTCCAGGGTCGAACATTATCTTCCAGAATTTTTTTTTTTTGAGAGGTTTTTTTGCTATAGGGCGTGTGCACTCGCCAGACAGAGAGAGACAGAGAGATAGAAAGCGAGAAATCACCCCCCCCAGGGGGGATGGCCACGCCGCAATCCCTTCTTCTCCATTCTCCTCTAGGGATCTTGGGTACACACACACACATGCCCGGCGTGAGTTTGAGCCACCGGGTCCAGGACTCGAACCACGGTCAACTACATGGGAGTCCAGCGACATAGCCATTATGCTAACTGCTGGTCCCTATCTTCCAGAATTTAAATGGAAAGATCAGACCACAACAGAAGATAAAGTACATGAGTTTGAACTGGTGAAATAGAATTTTATGACTTTTGACTAAAACATTACTGACCTCCTATGCTTTTTTTTCCAGTGTTAAGTAGTTTTGTCTTCTCTCAAGTTGTGGACAGGTCCATGTACCTACTATTCAAACAGAATCCTAATCTGTTTCCTGGCTTTAAGTATTAAGCAAAGTTCTCTTAACATTTTTTATTTTGATTTATTAAAGCTAAAACAGCCTTTCTTGACATTAAAAAAATGTATTAAATAAATAAATAAAAGAAAGGTTTAGAATCTCACATTGGAGGGACCAGCAGATGATGGTGTATTGGTTACATTGCTGGACTCCCACATAGTCAACCGGGGTTCAAGTCTCAGACCTAGACGTCATACACCAGGCCTGTGTGTATGTATGCCCAAAATCCCAAGAGGAGAATGGGGGAGAAGGAATTGTGGTGTGGCCATCCCCCCGTGGGGTGATTTCTCACTTTCTGTCTTTCTCTCCAGCGAGTGCATGCATCCTATAACAAAAATATCTCTCTCTCTCTCTAAAAAGAAAAAAGAATCTCAGATTGGAGAAAGGGAAGGGGCTCCTCACCTACCCCTGGGTGTGTGTACCTATTACAAAAGAAACAAGAGGCTAGACACAGCTTAGCATCAGACATTGTTTTATCAGCAAATCCCTTTTCCAAATGAAATCTTACCTGGAAACCAGGAATATGAAGCAGATTGGAGCTGAGCTGTTCTAATAGAAGTGAAGGAAGAAGATTTTCACCCTGCCCACTAAACCCCTCCTTAGACCCCAATTCCACCTAAAGGCCCTTTCTTTCCTGCCCAGCATCTGGCACCTTAGGCTCAGAGTTTCTTTGTAGATTCTTAGCTGAATGTTTTCTACCAGGCAAAAGCACCTCCCCGGTCTGGTATAGAGAGGCCTCTTACTGAAACCCAAGCCGTGTGAGGTGTGATAGGGAATCGGGTCTGTCCACTGTGTGAGGCCAGCCCTCTGGCTCCCCACTGCCTCCCCTGCCCCGTCCCACTGCCTCCTACTTTTGCCTGACTCCTCCACCTTCCTGGGCTCTTAGGCTGCCCAGGAAGCCATCTTCCCTCCCTATGGGCAATGTGCATTATCCCCTGATGCTGCCGCCCTTTCTCCCACCCTCGGTCAGGCACTGACTCCTCACTCAGAAAGGCTTCATTCACTGAACATATCTTCACTGGGGTTGGGAAGGGAGTTCTTGCCTTGAGGGTGTGACCCCTTTTTCTAAATCATAACATTTTGTCAATGCATGTGTGTG